GTATCTAATGTGATGATATCTTACCAAATACTTCTTTGTAGACGATATTTTTTTGTGTATGTTTCCTTCTAATGCTTTGGTTGTTCTACTATAACCAGAACTCTTGTTGTCGATATTGATATCCCTCTTGAAAGTGCAACATATAGTTATTTGTGCAAGAAAATATATTATTATAAATATAGTCAAATATTTAGGATGTATGTCCTTGTGCTTTATTTATTATAATTATGAAACATAAACATACTGAAAAATATTTTTATACAAATTTAAAAGGATATTCTTTAGTTTCGAAAAATAAAAGTTAATTTTAGGGATAAACACATACTTAGAAGCACATTGATCAGTATCATAATTTCTACATGTATATGACATTATTGTCAAAATTTCTATATACTATATGTGTACTATAACATATGTTATTCGGCGGATTTAAGTTTTTCAGCAGCATGACGTGCATATTTTTCTTCAAAATTAACATATATGCAATGGAAGATCAATTTTACCTTAGTATATTATATATATGGTGACACTAACATACGTAAGAAATAATGAACTTGACAACAAACCTGGATGGTAGAAGGCCATTTGATATTAAAGTATTTGAGTATTCCTTTTGGTAGTAATTGTTGGTATCATCCTCTGCTGAATCAAAACTGAAAAATATTTTGTTTTTACCATAAAACTTAAAATTGCATTTAATCTAATTATGATAATATTTTTTCTTATTAAATGCACTAATATTACCATTGTGGTTGATAACCAAGTATTCTAGAAGAACCAAATCATCTTTTTCGTTTTCGTCCGGAAGCAAGAAGTCGCTGAATGTTAGATCTATTCTTACTTTTATATTTCTTGTCATTTGAAATTTTTTTATTTGAGGCTATAAGTATAATCTTGGCAAGCTAGCTTATATGGTCTTTGCTTTTGTCGATTTTGGAACTACTGATAGTACTTGACAGAAACCACCTCACAAACTATTACTTTTCTACCAAACGGTTCATTGATGTCCAATATATCTCTAGAACTCTAGGTAATTGTTTCGATTCTTTGACGCTTAGCCATACATGCTTCATCCCATAATATTAATTTGGCTTTCCTTATAAATTTAGCACTATTGCTCTGCTTTGATATGTTTGTGATGGCTATTTTAATCTTTTGAAGAGGTATATGAAATCTAAAGTGAGTTGTAAGACCTCATAATAAAATTATTGTGGGTACACCACTTATTATTATTACTAACAATATCATGCCTCTTGATCTGACATTTATAAGTAATGACATAGGAATATTATTTCGATTCCGTCAGAGACATCTACAAAGGATAATCCCGCTATACCATAGTCAACTCTTTATAATATAGTCTTGAAAGCTTGTTCTTGTTCAGAATTTAACTTTGATTGTGCTTCCTTAGACACTTGTATGGCCTTCTTAATACTATGGTATAGCGGGATTATCAAAATTTAACTTTGATTGTGCTTCCTTAGACACTTGTATGGCCTTCTTAATACTATATTAATCTTTTTTACTTTGTGATCTAATTTCTTTTAATCTCTACCGCTCCTTTAATAGAATACATTTATGTACCTTAAGATTTTCTTTTAACTTGAAAAATAAGTTTACTCACAATGAATTTAAAAAATAATTGAACTGGATTATATTGCTAATAATTAATTGAAAGATTTGATTATTTGGTCTTAATATAAAAAATAATTTATTTTCTGTTCATTCAAATTCTTAAGATTATTCCACCTCTTTTTTTGAATATTTAATCGTAATTATAATTTTATCCACCATAAATGTTATTTACAAAGAGTAAAAGACCGATCTGGCATTCCACTTTTAGATATTTATATTTGCAAAAGTATCAATGGTATTGACTCTTACCAACCTTTTTCTTTTTCTTTCTCATACATTTATATTCTTAAAAAATTCTTAGTTGTTCTTTAATAATTGGAAAATAATAATTACTTTATGAATTTTCTCATTAAATTTGTTATCTTCTAAAAATTGTATCACAAAAAGAATTCTTTTGCATCTTGTTCGTGAAACTAATATTTAGGAGGAAATTAAAAAAATACGATCAAGACAAAAGTAATGTTTATCTAGCACAATAAATTTTGAAGGATAAATTTAATTCGCATAAGATTATACAGTGATATCTTATTACTTTACTTTATATAAGTGGCTTACTTTGAAAAACGGAATGAATTCTTATAAATTTGTGATCTTTGGTTCTAGAGTTGCTGTAGAAATACACATGTAGTCTCCAGCTCTCCTACACGGCAACAAAGAAGGGTTTTGGCGTTAAATTAGTAAAGTATTCCCTTTTTTCTCAGTGATTTTATTGACTTCATAGTTAATTATAATTTTATCCTAAATAAGGTTATTAAAGTGCTCAATATTTTAAGATTATTTTGGTAAACCGATATTGTATTTATACTTTTATAATAATATAGATTAAGCCGAAGAAATACTGAACCGTACCGAATAAATTTACTTATGAAATATTTGTATATTAAGTTTAAAAATAATAAAAGCATTAAATTTATCCTTGTCCTTGGAATTATGAAAAAAGGATCCTCCTAAATTGGGGGGGGGAGGGGAGAGGAATTATGAACACGGTTACAAGCCAACAAGTAATTAAACTCAAAATCCTAATTTTAAACCTATTATGTTACTCCTACTGAAACTTAATTATTTCCAACATATTTACTAGCAAGCTAAGACACAAAGTATTCTAGCGATTATGAGTAACAAACTACAATGTATTGAATATGTTTCCTTCTGTATGATTTAGATTTATCTTTTTTGAATATTTAATCTTCTATAGACCTTATTCTTGAGTTCCAACTTGGTTAATATCTTTCCACTTGTGTGATTTATATTTTCTTTATCATTGCTTAGTTTCTTTTATGCTGCTATAGAATAGTTGATGGTCTCGCTATCTTTTATGTTTTCTTAGTTCATCACACTTTAAATAGTAAAAATATCTAGAGAGTTTTGCTAAGTCCTATAAAAGTATGTATGTTATTGCATTCTACTTCTACTAATGACTTTTATATGACATTTAAAAAATACCGAAAATTAACCAAACCGTACCGATACCGAAGAGAAACTGACATGATTGAGACGGTTTTGAAAAGTCTAATTTTGGTTATACATAATAGAATAACCGAAAAATTAGTATGGTATAAATTTTATAAAATAACGGACCGAACCGAACCATTGACACCCCTTCAAGTACTCCAAGATGTTTTCTTCTTTTGTTTGGGTTTCGTTCCTCGATGAGAAATGAATGTAATGTATGTAATGACCCTGCCAGTCGTTTTGAATATTTTTGCCTCATTCCCCAATTTACTGTCTCCCCTATATTATATTGTGATTATGTGACTTGCTGGGGTAGTTAGTTTTGGTTTCGGGTGAGTTTTTGGAGTGAAATGGGACACTTAGTCACATAGTTAGAAGTTTAAGTTGAAAGAATTGATCGGAGTTTGACTTTTATGTAGACGAGTCTGGAATGGCGTTTTGACGGTTCCAATAGCTCCGTATGGTAATTTTGGACTTAGGAGCGTATCCGGATATTAATTTGGAGGTCCGTAGGTCGTTTCGACGTGAATTGGCAAAAGTTGAAAAGTTGAAGGTTTGGAAGATTGAGAAGTTTGACTGAGAGTTGACTTTATTGATATCGGGTCCGGATTTCGGTTCTAGAAGTTGGAATAGGTCTGTTGTGTCAATTATGTGTGCAAAATTTGAGGTCAATTGGAGTTGGTTTGGTATATTTCTGCATTAGTTTTAGAAGTTACAAGTTCATAAGTTTATTAGGCTTGAATCGATGTGTAATTCGTAGTTTTAGTGCTATTTGATGAGATTTGAGGTTTCGAGCGAGTTCGTATCATGTTTTAGGACTTGTTGGTATGTTCGGACGGGGTCATGGGGGCCCCGGGCATGTTTCGGACTGAGTTCGGACTTTTTGTTCTTGAAATAGAACTGCTAGTTTTTCCTATTTTGGTTTCCTTCTATACGTTCGAGAAGATACTCCCGTGGTTGCGTAGAGTCCTTAGGGACTGATGGAATTTCACTCTTCGCGTTCATGAAGTAAGGGGTGTGATCGCGAAGGTTGAGGAGCTTGTGCATCGCGAACGCGTGAGTTGAACCGCATTTGCGTACAAGGAAGGAGAGGCTGGGGTTGAGGCACGCGATGTACTTCGCAATCGCGTGGCCTAGGACGCGATCGCGTAAGTTGAGGAAGCTAGTCATAGCGTTCGCGACGGGCTTCACGCGATCGCGAAGTAGGTTTTATGAGTTGGGGAAGGTTTGTTCTCCGTGATTGTGAAAGAGATTTTGTGAGTTGGGGAAGGTTTGTTCTCCGCGATCGTGAAAGGCAATGACTAGGCAGCAGTACTTAATTTCAAAAACGTGTGTTTTATTTCATTCTTCATCTTTTGACTTGACTAAAAGAACTCGGTTTGTGGCGATTTTGAGAGGGATTCTCAAGGAATAGATCGGGTAAGTGATTCTAACTCGGATTTGGCTATTATACATCAACCCATCATTGTTTCTACCATTTAATTAGTATTTTGTGTTAGAAAAGTTGGGAAAAATTATGAAAACTTCATAGACCGTATTTTGAGGATTTGAAAGGCGATTTGAGGTCGAATTTGAATAATTTTAGTATGTTTGGACTCTTTATTGAATGTGTCACGCCCCCAAACTGGGGTGGGACGTGATTGGCACTCAACCCTTACCACTCGTTGAGTGAACCCTATACTATTTGTATCAAACTTTAAGTTCAATAGCAAAGAAACTAACATGCTTAAATATTAATTCTAATCAAATTACAGTTCTTAAGTTGACTGATAAAATATAATAAATAAAGGATAAATCTCAAAATATTTTAATATTGACCCACTAACAAGTCATGAGCCTCTAGAATCGGAAAAAAATAAAATTTAAGATACATAGCCAATGGGGGCATCCCCCGAAAATAAAATAAACGTAAAAAAAAAAGTTATAAATAATAGTCCGAAAAGGGTCCGCTACCGCTGGGATGAATCAACGGAGTCTGTAAACTGAATCTAGAATATCTCCTTTAGCCACATGCCTCGTTACCTGCATCCTCAATACCTGTCATACGACGTAGCAGGCCCAAACGTGCTAAGTACCACCAAAGGATACCTAGTAAGTCACATAGGCTACCTCCTAAAAAGGCGCAGCGAGACCTTCTGGAAATTATAAGAAAGAAAATGGATATATACGGAAAATCATATAAATCATATAAAATTTTATAACCACGCAATAAGCTGGAAACTGAAACTGTAAGCTAAACTGTAAGCTGAAACTGAAACTTAACGTAGAAATTGAGCTCATAACTGATATCTCAAATAGAAACTGAGTTATATATATACATATTTTAAGACGTAACTTTGCAAAGTTAATTGTTACGCATAATGGCCATGAGTACGTGAGCACCTGGGAAGACGTACGGGGGATGTCGGCCTATCTCTCCAACAAACAGTTGGCATGTGTGAGCGTGGGGTAGGTAACCCTGACATCATGGCACTCACGCTGGGGGAGGTTGGCCACTTCTCCCTCTTGAATGTGAATATCACAAATAAAGGCACATAACAACTGGTAATACACATAAGCATGTATTCATGTCACATATATGGTCGTACTGAATAAGAATAAAGTGAATTGAGTATTAGATCATGAGAAGACATGACTTAGCTTTATCTAGCATATGGAGCACAGGGGTTTTAATGGAATTCCCTACTAGGAAAGTAAACTTTAACTCACCTCAAATACAAGCTCAACTTTGCCTCCACGTATCTTCCAGGCAATGCCAAGTCACCAATTTCTCTAACTACATGACAATTGGGTTCAACTTAAATTAATTCATGTAAAAAAAATACAACTATATACACAGTTCTCTTATTCTAGGAAAATCCCACTTAGGTTCTAAAACATTAATTAGTCCGTAATAACTCAATAAATCAATTTGTAACGTTTAATCCCACAACTCATTAAAACAAGCTATAACTACAAAGTTGTCTATTTCTTTTTCTTCCAAACTTCATCACTGCCCAGCAATGGGTAATCATGATTCCAATAATAAATTCATAATAAATACATCCAAGGCTCTTACTATATTGTAATAACATTATTGAATAAAGCCTAAGCATTTAAAATCCTTTTATTTATTAATTCTTTTAAAAAAATTCAAATATCAAAATCCTACCCATATCTCAATTGATACTAGATAAATAATTTTTACCAGAGAAGAGTATATGGGTACCTCCGAATAAGAGTGAATCTGCCACTTTTGATTATAAAATTCTCGTGAAATCAAACTCTCAAGATAACCCAAGAAGTTGCAGACTTGCGGTGAGCAAGCTTGAGAAAACAGAAACTTTGTTTTCTTTCTTTCTTGAAAGTAGCCAACGAAAGAGGCATACAATTGCCACTGATTTAGTGGACTTATTTTTCTTAAAATTTTCACTAGTGGGCACGTGGGACATAACCAATATAAATATTTTATATTATTTAAGAAAAATAATATAAATCAGTGGCCACTAGTGATGTAAAATTATTTTGGCGGGTACATCATTATAAGCACAAATATCACATAACTTGACAATATAAATATTTTAAAGCTTAAAATGAATTATGTACCTGAAATCTCGAACAAATAAGGATATCTTTTCTTCATGGCTTCCTCGGGATCCCACGTAGCTTCCTCAACTGAGTGGTTTCTCCATATTACTTTCACTGAAGCAACGTCTTTGGTTCGAAGTCTACGAACCTGCCTGTCTATTATAGCTACAGGGACCTCCTCATATGTCAGAGTATCATTAATCTCTATATCATGTCTATCAAGTACATGACTCAGGTTGTCAAAATACTATTTCAGCATGGACACATGAAAAATCGGATGCACAGAAAATAACTCTGGAGATAAAGCTAGTTGATACGCCACAAGTCCAATCCTTTTAAGAATTGGATAAGGCCCTATATATCCTGAGCTAAGCTTCCCTTTTATACCAAACCTCATGATACCCTTCATTGGAGACACCTTTAAAAATACATAGTCACTCTCTTTGAACTCAAGATCGCGGTGTCTTATATCTAAGTATGACTTTTGTCGGGTTTGAGCTATTTTAAGTCGTTCCTGAATAAGTTTCACCTTTTTCAAGGCATCATGTACTATGTTTGGCCCAATAAGCTTCGTTTCACCTAACTCAAACCACTCTATAGGCGAACGACATCGCCTCCCATATAGGGCCACAAATGGGGCCATCTGAATGCTCGCTTGATAACTGTTATTATATGCGAACTCAATCAAAGGTAGATGATCATCCGAGTTTCCTTTAAAATCAAGAACACATGCTCGTAACATATCTTCCAAGGTTTGAATTGTCCTCTCGTCATGCCCGTCCGTTTGAGGGTGAAAAGTTGTACTTAGATTAACTCGGGTACTGAGACCTTCCTGAAAACTCTGCCAGAACTGGGCAGTAAACTGTGCACCCCTGTCAGAAATAATAGACATGGGAGAACCATGCAACCGAACAATCTCCTTTATGTATAATATTGCATACTGGGGTGCTGTGTAGGTTGTTTTGACTGGCAAAGAGTGAGCTGACTTAGTGAGTCAGTCTACTATGACCCAAATGGAGTCATGTTTCTTAAAATTTCGCGGAAAGCCCACCACAAAATCCATATTTATTCTTTCCCATTTCCATTCTAGTATTTCAATGACTTGAGCTAAGCCACCTGGCCTCTGGTGTTCAGCTTTTACTTGCTGACAGAAAAGGCACCGTGATACATAATCTGCAATATCTCGCTTCATATTATTCCACCAATAAACATCCCTCAAATAATGATACATTTTGGAAGAACCTGGATGTATTGAATATCTGGAGCTATGAGCTTCTACCATAATTGCCCTTCGAAGATCTTCTACATTAGGCACGCATAAACGGCTATTAAGTCTCATCATACCATTCTCATCAAGTGCAAAATTCTCAATCTTGCCACTAAGGACACCTTCCTTGAGCTTAAGCAATCTAGGGTCATCAAATTGTTTGGCTTTAACTTGCTCTACTAGAGTAGACTTAGTACTCATACTTGCTATCAACCTTCCATCATATTTCTCATCGAGACGAACCCCTTGGCTAGCTATTTGTTGGGCTTTCTTAACTATTGGACGTTTGACCACACACAACCTAGTCAAACTCCCCATGGATCTTCTGCTCAGAGCATTAGCAACCATATTCGCTTTGCCGGGATGGTAAAGGATATTGCAATCATAATCCTTAAGTAATTCCAACCATCTGCGTTGTCTCAGGTTCAACTCTGTCTGCTTGAATATATACTGTAAACTTTTATGATCTGTATAAATGTCATATTGCTCTCCATAAAGGTAGTAACACCATATTTTTAGAGAAAAAATAACTTCCGCTAGCTCAAGATCGTGGGTAGGATAATTTCTCTAATGATTCTTTAACCGCCTAGAAGCATAAGCAATTACCTTGTCATTCTGCATAAGAACACATCCTAGTCCTACTTTGGAAGCATCACAATAGATCATACATTTACCTATATGGGTAGGTAGACTCAGGATTGGGGCTATAGTCAACATGTTCTTAAGTTCTTGAAAACTCTTCTCACAAGCTTCAGACCATTAAAACTTCACATTTTTCTAAGTTAACTTTGTCAATGGGGAATCTCATGAAGAGAACCCTTCTACAACACCGCAGTAGTAACCTGCCAACCCTAGAAAACTATGAATCTCTGTAGGGGTTGTCGGCCAAGGCCAACTCTTAACTGCTTCTATTTTCTATTGGTCTACTCTAATGCCTTATTTCGAGACCACGTGTCCCAAAAATGTAACTGTATTAAGTCAAAATTCACATTTGGAAAATTTGGCATAATAAAGCTGACGGTCCTTGAGTATTTGAAGAAATGTTCTCAAGTAATTCTCATGCTCGGTCTCACAACGGGAATATACCAAAATATCATCGATAAATACTATGACAAAGGTATCTAAGAAAGTCTTGAAAACTTTGTTCATTAAGTCCATAAAAGTTGCTGGTACATTGGTCAACCCAAAGGACATCACTAAAAATTCATTATGACCGTACCGACTCCTGAAAGATGTTTTCGGGATGTCTGCTTCTCTGATTTTTAATTGATGGTATCCCAATCTCAAATCTATTTTTGAGCAATACTTGGCACCCTGCAACTGATCAAATAAGTCATCTATCCTGGGCAGTGGATATTTATTTTTGATAGTAACCTTATTCAACATGCGGTAATCTATACACATCCGTAGAGAACCATCTTTTTTTTTTCACGAACAACACTAGATCACCCCAGGGTGAAATAATAGGTAGAATAAAACCCTTATCTAAGAGGTCTTGTAACTGCTTCTTGAGTTCATTTAGCTCAGATTGAGCCATTCTGTAAGGAGGAATCGAGATTGGTTGAGTTCCTGGCAATGTGTCTATGCCAAACTCAATCTCCCTATCTGGTGGTATCCTTGGGAGATCATCCGGGAACACGTCCAAAAACTCTTTCACAATCTGTACTGATTCAAGCATTGGGGAGTCAGCTTTCATATCTCGCACATGTGCTAGATACGCCAAACACTCGATGCTCACTAGCTTTCTAGCTTTCTAGCCTTAAGGTAAGATATAAACTTACCTACAGGCGTACCCACTTCACCTCTAATTATAACTGGATCTTCCCCAATAAATGAGAATTTAACTGTCTTCGCGTGGCAATCAACTGTAGCATGACAAAAAGATAACCAGTCCATGCCAGCTATGATGTCAAAGTCTACCATATCTAACATGTTCAAATCGACTAATGTTTCTCGGCCCTGAACTGTGATGATGTAGTTTCTGAATATATACTCAACTTTAACAGATTCCCGTATAGGTGTGGAAATCTCAAACGGAACCCCTAATTTTTCTGGTGCTTTTCCAAACTCTACATAAAAATAAGGAGCCACATAGGAGAAAGTTGAACCATGATCAACTAATACATAAGCAAGGCGACCACAAACCGAGAGAATACATGTAATAACTCTGTTAGACACCTTAGCATTCTGCCTGTCTAGAACTGCATAGAATCTGGCTGGTCTGCCACCTCCCTAAGCTCCACCTCTATTGGCACCACGCCCGGTCTGAGTATTAGATGCCCGAACTGGAGGAGGTGCAACTATAGAATTACCTATGGATGTTGCTTATTTGGTTGGAGTTTTCCCCGGAGCTTGTCTAGGCAGTGGACAGTCTCTCTTAATATGACCCAGATCATGGCAGTGAAAACAACCTTTCTGACCCAGAAGGCATTTCCCTGGATGTCTTTTGCTGCACAAAGGACATATAGGATAGGAGAACCGAGGTTGGCCCTGACTAGTTAAACTTTTCCCCTGAGGGGCCTGGACTTTACTCTGTTGGCCATGTCTGAGTGGAGCTGGATAAGGAGATGAGTGGGTCGTTGATTGAATGTGAGCTGAATGATTCATGTTCTTACCCCCAACTGAAAATTCACTATAAATACCTATTGTTCTAGCCTTCTTGCTGTTATCTCTAGCTTCCCTGGCGATTTTATCAAAAGCCTCCTTACGCCTAGCAATATTGACAACCTGAAGATAAATATTGTCATCCTGATGTGAAGTCATATCTTTTGCCATATATGGATTCAAGCCTTCAATGAACCTTCTAACTTTTTCTCTCTCTGTCTGTATCAAATTAGGTGCATGCTCTGCCAATTTTGTAAATTTCGTATCATATTCAGTCATTGCATGGTACCCTATTTAAGATGTTTGAACTGACGTCAGAGCTCATCCATCCGACTGCTAGGCAAAAACTTGGCCCTGAAAGCTTCTTTGAAATGGGGCCAAGTAAATGGCGGTAATGTAGAATCCCTGGCCTTCTTGTAACCTCTCCACCATTGTCCCACTATGCCCTTCAATCGAAACCTAATTAACTCTGCGGCTTGTGTTTCAAGACAACCCAAAGAAACAAACATTTTCTCTATCTCTTCCGAAAATAACATTGGTTCATTTGGTTTATCGGTACCATTATAAGTAGGAAGGTTTAATCTCAGAAAGGCATGTGGATCAATTTTTTCTGTTGGTAACTGCACTATCTAGGCAATATTTGCAGGGACAACTGGTGGTGGTACCTCGATTGGAGCTTGAAAACCATCTCTTATAACCTCTTTATCTGAATCATGAGGGTCCTGAGAAGGAGCATGAACAGGTGTAGCCCGACCACCAGTCGGAGGGGCTAGGGACTCCAGAAAGTCCAAAATTCTATCAATCTGATTATCCTGCTGATGTGGTGGTACCCGATCATTAACAACCTACTGAGGTGGAGCTTGTGCTTGTCTTGTGGCCCTACCACCAACTTGATTACCTCTGGCATTTTCACCTCTACCCCTAGAATTTTGACATATACCTCTACCTCTGCCACATCCTCTAACTGCAACTGGTGCTATTAGTGCAGCTTGCACCTCTAGTGCTATTTCTTGATGATTAGCAGTTAGTATCTCAACATTGTTAGCAACAGAGGATAAAGTTGATCTTGTTCTAACCATCTTGTTTGTGCTGAAACGAGAGATAAATGGGTGTAAGAATTTTGAAACGTATAACTCTAACGCACGATATAAGAATCAAAGGAGAGAAAAACAAATTCCTAACATGTCCTGCAGCCTCCCAAATATGAGTATGGTGCACAACATACGCATATTTGAGACTCTGCTAGACACGGCTCATGATTCCCTAGAACTCCGTAAACCTAGTTGCTCTGATATCAACTTGTCACGTCCCCAAACTGGGGTGGGACGTGATTGGCACTCAAACCTTACCACTCATTGAGTGAACCCTGTACTATTTATATCAAACTTCAAATTCAATAGCAAAGAAACTAACATGCTTAAATATTAATTCTAATCAAATTGCAGTTCTTAAGCTGACTGATAAAATATAAGAAATAAAGGATAAATCCCAAAATATTTTAATATTGACCCACTAACAAGTCATGAGCCTATAGAATAAAAAAAACAAAATTTAAAATACATGGCCTATGGGGGCATCCCCCGAAAATAAAATAAACATTAAAAAAGTTATAAATAATAGTCTGAAAAGGGCCCACTACCGCTGGAGTGAATCAACGGAGTCTGTAAACTGAATCTAGAATATCTCTTCTAGCCACATGCCTCGTTACATGCGTCCTTAATACCTGCCACACGATGTAACAGGCCCAAACGTGCTAAGTACCACCAAAGGATACCTAGTAAGTCTCATAGGCTACCTCCTAAAAAGGCAAAGCGAGACCTTCTGGAAATTATAAGAAAGAAAAGGGATATACGGAAAATCATATAAATCATATAAAATTTTACAACCTGGCAATAAGCTGGAAACTGAAACTGTAAGTTAAACTGTAAGCTGAAACTGAAACTTAACGTAGAAATTGAGCCCATAACTGATATCTGAAATAGAAATTGAGTTATATATATTTTAAGACGTAGCTTTGCAAATTTAATTGTTACGCATAATAGCCATGAGTACGTGTCGGCGTATCTCCCCAACAAACAGTTGGCACCTGCGAGCGTGGGGTAGGTAACCCTGACATCATGGCACTCACGATGGAGTAGGTTGGCCACTTCTCCCTACTGAATATGAATATCACAAATAAAGGTACATAACAACTGGTAATACACATAAGCATGTATTCATTTCACATATAAGGTCGTACTAAATAAGAATAAAGTGAATTGAGTATTAGATCACGAGAAGACATGACTTAGCTTTATCTAGCATATGGAGCACAAGGGCTTTAATAGAATTCCCTACTAGGAAAGTAAACCTCAAGTCACCTCAATTACAAGCTCAACTTTGCCTCCACATATCTTTCAGGCAATCCCAAGTCACCAATTTCTCTAACTACATGACAATTGAGTTCAACTTAAATTAATTCATGTCCAAAGAATACAACTATATACACAGTTCTCTTGTTCTAGGAAAATCCCACTTAGGTTCTAAAACACTAACTAGTGTGTAATAACTCAATAAATCGATATGTAACGTTTAATCCCACAACTCATTAAAACAAGCTATAACTACGAAGTTTTCTATTTTTTTCCTTCCAAACTTCATCATTGCCCAACAATGGGTAATCATGATTCCAATAATAAATTCATAGTAAATACATCCAAGGCTCTTACTATATTGTAAGAACATTATTGAATAAATCCCAAGCATTTAAAAAAAAATATTTATTTTTATAAAAAAAAAAATTCAAATCTCAAAATCCTACCCATATCTCAATTGATAGTAGATAAACAGTTTTTACCAAAGAAGAGTTTATGGGTACCTCTGAATGAGAGTCAATCTGCCACTTTTGATTACAAAATTCTCGTGAAATCAAACTCTCAAGATAACCCAAGCAGTTGCAGACTTGCGGTGAGCAAGCTTGAGAAAACAGAAACTTTGTTTTCTTTCTTTCTTGAAAGTAGCCAACGAAAGAGGCATACAATTGCCACTAATTTAGTGGACTTATTTTTGCTAAAGTTTTCACTAGTGGGCACGTGGGACATAGCTAAATAATTGCTCAACTTTTTCTTTCTTTCTAGTTGTTTACTTGGCTTCTCTCACCATATTTTGAACTAATATATAGGCTACTTATCCTTTATTACACTAGCTAATAAGAAATTATTCAATACACTTGGATACTAGTAAATTTCATCAACTTTGTTTTCCAACTAAAAGTCAGGTAACTTAGTTTATTCTTAAGTATCCGTCCTACCATATTAGTTCATATCCTATACGCATATTATTCCAAATATTTCGCTTAAACCGTGCAAGTCCTTATACCCTTCGAGCACTTTAATTACGTTATGAACTTCAAGATTATTAAAATTTTAAGCTAGAAATTTATGGGGCTTTACAGAATGGGTGTTCGAATTTTGTAAGTTTGGTCATGTTCCGAGATGCGGGCCCAGAGTTGACTTTTTGTTTTCTTTAAATATTACAACTTTATTGTCTGAAATAGTTTCTTTTGGTTTGTATTTATGGTATAAACTTATTCTGGCTAGATTCAAGCCGTTTGAAGTTGGATATTTGCGAAAAGGGCTTACTAGCGGATTGAGTTAGCGTGTTTTGAGGTAAGTGTCTTGCTTAACTTTGTGTGGGAGAATTACTCCTTAGGATTGGTGTTGTTTTATGTTATTTGTGGTACGTGAAGGATGTATACGCAAGATAACGAGTGGGTACATGGGCTAAATATGGTAATCGATAGGTTAAAGTTATGTAGATTCTTTTAATGCCTTTAATTGAATTGTCATAACATGTTATTTTCATCATCGTTAATCTATCCTTACGTGATTTACTTGACATTGTTAATACCTATCTCATCTCTTACTTGTTATTTACCTTACATGCTTAGTTGAAGTTATTATTCTCTCATTTCCTTATTAATTATTTAACTGTTGAGTTACCTTACTTAAAGTTGTTATTTCTTGGAATATATTATTGTTGTATTATGGTGTTTGAAGTTATAAGGGCCGTGATTCACATTGAGGCAAAGTTGTAAATGATTGAAATACCATTCTTGTTGAGATATTCACTTTCGGTTATTATTGTTGAGACTCTTATACATATTGTGGTTGAGCCATGGGCTATTTATTGTAGAAACATTATTGTTGTTGACTTCTTTGGCAAGTTGTGGTTTTGGGCACTTGAGGTGCGATTTGTGATATTGATACGCATGCAGTGATATAAGGATTGGGGTTGATACGCATACGGTGAGATAAGGTGGGCTTGATACGCGTGTTTCTAGTAGGGGAGCTACTTGAAGCCACGCGGTGTGATAAGGTGGGCTAAAACGCGGGTAGCTATTTCGGGAAAATAATTTTCAAAACTAAATGCAAGGCTCCCGCGGTAGTATAAGGACATATTGTGATTTGATTTGTGAAATAAGACTACGAGGCGGTATCTCAGTAGTGATTCTTGTTGTTACCTTTCATTAACATCACTTGTGTTTTGTTTGCATCGTTTCTTTGGTATTCTTTTTATGTGTTTCTCCCGTGATGTCTTTATTTCCTTAATTGCAGTGTAGCTATTCTTGTTGTATCTTTTCATTTTATCATTTCCTTGTTTCCATTATTATATTGTACCATACATGTTCAATTTCTTTATTTATTCCAATAGGTATCTTAACCTGACCTTGTCACTACTCTATCGAGGTTAGGCTTGATACTTAGTAGGTACCGTTGTGGTGTACTCATACTATATTTATGCACATATTTTTATGCAAATCCAGGTATTTCATACCAGCCCAGGCAACCGTGAGTTGAGCTTTGGATCGGAGACTTCAAGGTATACTTGTCGGCATTCGCAGGCCTCAGAGTCACCCTCTATCTTGTCTCTTTCCTTCTGTTTACTCTTTACTTAGACAAATGATGTATTAGGGATTGGTTCGGTATATTCATGTAGTGCTTATGACTCGATCTCACCAGATTTTGGGAGTTATGGTCAGTTGTGTTATGGAATTATTTATGATAGTCTGTTGATTTAAATTGAATATCCTTTATTATTTCTGTTATTCCTTCATGTATGTTAGGCTTACCTAGTCTTAGAGACTAGGTGCCATCACGATATCTTACGGAGGGAGATTGGGTTCATGACAAGTTGGTATCAGAGCTCTAGGTTCATAGGTATTACTAGTCATAAGCAAGTTTAGTAGAGTCTCGCGGATCGGTAAGGAGACATCTGTACTTATCTTCGAGAGGCCATGGAACTGTTAGGAAACTTCACTTCTTTGATTCCTCATCATGCAAATTTGTTGACTTCTAAATTCTGAATCTTTTTCTTTCTATTCTCTCACAGATGGTGAGGACACACACCGCTGGATCCGACGATCAGACACTTTCTCCCCCTGCTAGATCCGCGAGAGGCACGAGGTGTAGCCAGAGCACTTGTCCGAGCTGCGATAGAGGAGACACTAGTAGCTTCAGTTGGGGGGCAGGCACCTGAGGTGCCTGTTGCTGCACTTCAGGAGACCCTCGCCCAGTTCTTGAGCATGTTTGGTACTCTTGCTCAGACGGGGTTGATTCCACTTGCACCAGCCATATCTCAGGCTAGGGGAGGAGCACAGACTCCCGCGGCTCGTACCCTAGAGCAGCGGGTCCATATTGACCAGGTCCCAGAGGTTATACCAGTGCAGTCGGTTGTCCCAATTTTTCCTGAGGTTAGGGAAACAGCATCTGAGGAGGAGGAGCTGAGACTCGAGAGGTACAAGAAGTACCACCCTCCTACTTTCAGTGCCCTAGCTACAGAGGATGCATAGGGTTTTCTAGAGAAGTGTCACTGTATTCTCCGTACCACGGGTATTGTGGAGATGAGCGGGGTTGCTTTTACTACATTCCAGCTGTCGAGACCAGCGTATCAGTATTGGCGGGCTTATGAGGAGGGTAGCCCAGCCAAGGCAGCTTCACTCACATGGGCTCAATTTTCAGAGATGTTCATGAGAGAGTTTGTTCCTTAGAGCCTTCGGGATGCATGGCGCGCAGAGTTGGAGCAGCTGCGCCAGGGTAATATGATCGTGTCAGAGTATGCTATCAGATTCAGTGAGTTTTCCAGACATGCACCTGCCTTAGTTTCCACAGTCAGGGAGTGAGTCTGTCAATTTATCGAGGGGCTCAACTATGGTATTAGATTCAATATGGATCAAGAGTTAGAGACAGATACCCCATATCAGCAGGTGGTAGAGATCGCACGGAGATTGGAGGGTATGCGAGGTCGGGAGAGGGAGGACAGGGAGGCCAAGAGGCATCGAGATTCTAGCAGATATAGTGGTGCCCTTGCCCCAGTTGCAGCCTGTCATGGTGAAGGGTATGTGAGCCGTCCAGTTCATTCAACACTTCTAGCCTCTAATGGTGCTCCGGCTACTCCTAGGTCTCAGGTTGCCCATTATGCACCGCCACTGTCTAATGCACCTCCTGCACGGGGTGCTTTCAGCGGTCAGTCCAGCCGACCAGGCTCGAGTCAGTTACAGCAGCCGCATCCTCCCAGAGTTTTCTTTGAGTGTGGTGATACTCGTCATAGGGTGAGGGACTGCCCCAAACTCGAGAGGGGTGTATCTCCATAAACTACTGAGGCTCCACGTATTCCACAGGGTCCCCAGACTTCTCAGATCGCGGTTACTGCACCAGTTGTCGCACCACCTGCACAGCCAGCTAGGGGTGGAGGTCAGGCGGGTAGGGGTCGCCCTAAAGGGGGAGGCCAAGCAAGATGTTATACTTTTCCGGGTAGGACGGAGGCGGTTCCATCAGACGCAGTTATCACAGGTATTGTTACGGTTTTTCATAGAGATGCATCAGTCTTATTTGATCAATGCTCCACTTATTCATATGTATCATCTTACTTTGCTCCGTATTTGGGTATATCTCGTGATTCTTTGAGTTCTCCTATTTATGTGTCCACGCATGTGTTGTTGACCGTGTGTATCAGTCGTGTTTAGTTGTTATTGGCGGTTTTGAGACCAGAGTTGATCTATTGTTGTTCAGTATGGTAGACTTTGATGTTATTTTGGGCATGGACTGGTTGTCGCTCTATCATGCTATTCTTGATTGTCACGCCAAGACGGTGACGTTAGCTATGCTAATTTTACCGCGGTTGGAGTGGAGGGGTACTTTGGATTATGTTCCTAGTAGGGTTGTGTCCTTCCTTAAAGCACAACGGATGGTTGGGAAGGGGTGTGATGCATATCTAGCCTTTGTGAGAGATGTCAGAGTCAGTTCCGGTAGTGAGAGACTATCCATATGTATTTTCGGTAGATCTCTCGGATATGCCGCACGATAGGGATATCGATTTTGGTATTGACTTGTTGTCGGACACTCAACCCATTTCTATTCCACCATATCGTATGGCCCCGGTGGAGTTGAAGGAGTTAAAGGAGCAGTTGCAAGAGTTGCTTGATAAGGGTTTCATTTGGACTAGTGTGTCACCTTGGGGTGCTCCAGTTCTGTTGGTGTTGCCTACTGGTTCGGGGTCTTACACCGTGTACTGTGATGCGTCACGTATTGGCCTTGGCGCAGTATTGATGCAAGACGGTACGGTGATTGCCTACATGTCTAGGCAACTGAAGGTTTATGAGAAGAATTATCATGTCCATGACTTGGAATTAGCAGTGATTCATGCCTTGAAGATTTGGCGGCACTATTTGTATGGTGTCCCTTGTGAGGTCTATACCGACCACCGGAGTCTACAACATCTGTTCAAATAGAAGGATCTTAAATTGCAGCAACGGAGATGATTAGAATTGCTTAAGGACTATGATATCACTATTCTATATCATCCCGAGAAGACCAATGTGGTGGCCGATGTCTTGAGTCAAAAGGCAGGAGCTTGGGTAGTTTAGCATATCTACCGACAACAGAGAGGCTATTAGCATTGGATGTTCAGGACTTGGCCAACCAGTTTGTTAGATTGGATGTTTCGGAGCCG